GGACTGGCCCAAGGCCAGGTGACTAATAGTTGAGGGAATCGGTATTTACGACCAGTTGGTCTGACCAGAGCCCACGTTCTCTGGAGTCTACCTTTCATTGAATGTGCCCTTGTTTGTTTAAAAATCCTCACGTCTCTAGGGTAGCAAGGAGCAGCTAAAATAACAAATGAAAGGAAGATATAGATTGAGCATCCTTGGTTAAAAACCCCAAACACTCCAACATATGAAACTCTTTGAGCCCTGACCTGACACTCCAAAGGGAAAATTGCACACCATGAAAACTTGTCTATGATATGTATAGGAATCAAATGAATTTCCTGCTTAGACTTGGGTCCCAGTTCTAAGATATCTCATGATGTACATGCAAACATTCCGAAATCTGAAAACAGCCTCAAATCTGAACCACTTCCAGTCCCATCTCGGGCAGGGGTCACTCAACTTAGAGTGATGTTATGGAATTCTAGACTTTGTTATGAGCAAAGGAGCCACTGATTCCTCCACAGCCCTGGTTCTTGGCTTCTCTGGTGGCCTTTGACAGCATCAAGATCCAATATGTGCAACGCAGCAACATCCTAACCACGTTCTGCGGGTCACCAGCTCTAGGCAGCCCGTGGGATGGTAACGGTCCAGCAGGTGCCTGCCACTCAGCACAGCCCCATCCACAGCAGCATCCATGGTACCCAGGGCAGGTGATTCCTGGATGGAGTGAGGGGTAAGGGAGAATTTCCACATTTGGTTGGAGCGGGAAGGCTTGCAGTAGCTCAGATCGATTCATACACCATGACGATGAAAACACTTGCAGAGAACCCAGTTCTGATGAGGATCCAGAGCCAAGCCTTGTTTGGAACATTTTGCACATATTAATCTCTCATCCTCCACCGATCCCATTAGCTCCATGCTGTTATTATCCCCACTTAACAGATGAGAAAATCTATGTTACCTGTGGAGTCTAGTGAATTTGGGGAACGTTAAAACATGCAGCACATCTCAGGATCAAGGACGTGACATAGTAGCTGGTCCATGGGCTCGTGAACCCAGCATTTGGCGGCTCTTTGGAGCACAGAGGCTCTTTGTTAAATGGCCCTTAGAAACTGGCTGAAATGTGCCAGGCATTATGACAGCCTGCATTTGTTGAGTTATTTCTGCACACTCGACACCATTCTAAGAACTTTGCATGAATCTAGTTAATTCTCATGAAAACACAGGGACTAGGATTGGGATTATATCTGAACGACAGATGAAGAAACCAAGTCACAGATGACATAACTTGTGCAAGGCCACCCAGTCAGTCCTCTGCAAGGCTGGGTGTCAATCAAGGCTCCTGAGCAAGGATCCCAAGTCATCCTGGCCTTTTGCCTTGGAGTGAAGGACCTGGTACATCTGGGAAGGGACCGCAGCTGAAGAGATGGGCACAGTCCTGGGGCTTCAGGTGGATTAGAGTTTCTGGTCCCCTCAGGAGCCATTGTCCTTCGGCATCCATTTCCTCAGCCTCATCACCTTCTGTTTGTTTGTATCTGACCACCCAAATAGTGTAGGAAATGGAAGATCCCTGGTGAGGATGGAAAAACAGACTCGGGAAGGCATTTACTGAGTCCAAGGGACCTGACAAAACACTTTTATTTTCTATCAACCCCACAATGGCCCTATGAGGTTGGCACTGAAGGATCATCTCTCCATGATACCCAAGGAGAAACTGTAGCCCAGGGAGGGTGAGCTACTTTTCCTGGGTCACACAGCAGGTGCTGGCAGACCTGGGCTCTGGGGCCACGTGTCTGGAAAGGTTGATGATTGCCCAGGGCGAGGTCATCTGTGCACACTCCTAGACTAACCTGGACATTTCCTGTATGATCACTCCGCTATTTTGCTGTCTCCAGCGTATTCTTCGCTTCCTGGTTTTCTGCCTCGATGTTCTCCCATGTCTCAGAGGGGCTGCAGGTTTGCCCACAGGATGAGGTTCTTCCTCAGTCCCGGAACGGAACTGTTTTTGGAACTGTTTTCACGATTTTGCTTGTGCATCTGAGCACCTGCTGAGCTGATGAGCTTTTCAAAATGTCACTTGATTGTTGGGAGGGAGCTGTGAGTGATTTGCAGGAACACACTGTCCCAGCTGCCTTCTGGGGCGGGTGGCAGTGGGCTGTGGGCTGCCAGGGACAGCGGATCCTCCTCCAGCCCCAGCCCGCTTGGCGAGGGAAGCCGTTGTGCTCTTGCCCCAGGGCTGACCTAGGTGCGTACCATCTGGTGCGCCTCTTTTTTTTTTTCCAGGGAAATGTGGCGGTTTCTGTGCTTTTCTTTGCAACATTGTCTCTTAACATCATTGGTGGCTCATTTTTGAGAATCCAATGAAATTTTAAACCTTTTTCTTTCTGGATTTCTCTTAGAAAAATGCAAACACACGACAACGTCTTTTTAGAACTGGGGCTTCCATCGACACCCTCACCATCTGAGCATCCTTGAACGCCCTGCCTTGTCCCAATACACGTACCAGGAAAACTATCTTAAAAATTGAGTTCTCCCCTGGGTTCAGTGGCACACCCCAGCAATAGCAGCAACTCAGGAGGCTGAGGCAGGAGGATCACATGTTCAAGATCAGCCTCAGCCACTTAGCAAGGCCTTCAGCACTTAGCAAGACTCTGTCTCTAAATAAAAAATAAAAGGGGCTGGGGATGTAGCTCAGTGGTAGAGCACCCATGGGCTCAATCCGTAGTACTGCTGGGGGTCGGGGAATTGGACTCTCACTTTTCCTGCCTCCATTGAAGGCAGATTATGGAAAACTGAATTTCTGATTCTCTCCCTCCTCTCCACTGTTGCCCTAATTTCTTCTTGGTTTGTTTTTGTCCTTGAACTCACAGGGCCCCAAACCTCCCACTTCTGCCTCCTTATTAGCTGGGACTAAAGATGTGCGCCACCCTCGCCAGCTTTCCACTGCTGTCAGTCAAAGTCTGGACGGGAAAAATCCATGGCACACTCAAACAGGTGACCAGAGAGTTGGATCAAAGTGTCATGGAGTTCAGAGAAGCAGAAGGGAGAGGGAGGTATAGTGGGGTTGCACGAGGAAGCCCACCATCCCCTAGAACTGAAGACAGAGGGAGCAGGTGACCTAAGACAAGCCATGACCCATGATGGACAGGCCCCAGGTGACCCAGAAACAGGGAAGCAGGGGATAAGTGCTCCTGCCTTTCCTATCACCTTCCTCGTTACTATCACCTCTCCTCATGGCTTCTACTGGGACATCCCAAGGGGTTGCAGGCACAGATCACAGTGGACAAAGAGGGTGAGCACCCAGAAGGGTAACCCAGGAGTAGTTAGTACGTCACCCTTGCAAACCCAAAGAGCCCAGTGCAGTCGGTCGGCGCATTTGAGGGCCTGTGGCAGCTCCGTCATCCCGAGGTGCTCTGCCTGGGGCCTGAGCATCACAGGAAATGGCTTAGCTCGAGCTAGGGAAGTTTTGTAATTCCGTTAGTGATTGAAAGCTTCCTGGTTTTTGTCAGATGCTTTTAAATCCAGTCCTCCCCCTTCTCCTATCTTGTCATTACAAGGCCCCTTTGAAAGGCTCATTGTTCCTAGTGAAGCAATCGTCAATGCCACATGGAGTTGTATTAGTTTATCACGCGGCTTTCATTTGGTACCCTTATCATTTGGTACCTTGTTGTATAGAATTGGACATGTTTTGATTTTTGTAAGACAGGGAAATTACATGTAGGGAAGCAATTGAGGAGTGTGCAGTGGAACACTCGGACACCAGGTGGGCCTGAGGCCTCTGGGTTTGGGGCTGGGAAGTCTCCGTTCAGCTCCTTGCTTCTGCTTATACTTCCCGTGGCCTTGGGCGTCGACTCGAAGACCCAGGACCTGTTTCTAAGCTCCAGTTGCCATTACTGACAAAAGACTTGTATCTCACCAAACTCCAGCCAGCTTCTCTGAGCCTTCTTTTCAACCTGATCCTGTCTCAGGGCCTGCCAAGCCCAGTTTTAGCAAGAATCTTGCTAGATCGGTTTGGCAAGAATCTCCCACCCTTGAGAGCCGATCAGGTTACCCGTCCCCCGCCTCCACTGTCTCAGTCCTTGCCCAGCCTTCAGCAAGAATCCTGAGTGGGTTTAGCAAGAATCCCCCTAACTCTGATGCTTCTTTTTTTTTTTTTTAGCAATTTCCCATCTACTGGCCCCTCCCTCTGGTCATGAATCCCCAGAGTCTTGCTCTGTTCCTAACTGAAGTAGCCTTAATATCTACCTTTGACTATAATCCTGAATAAATGCCTTACCATTCAAAAACAGTGTCCAAATACTTTTTTTTTTCCTTCAGCATAACTCACTAGAAAACCACGGATTGCTGGGAATCCCCAGGACCGCTTTTCTTAGGTCACCCAACACTGAGAGCTCCGTGGGGCTCACTGTCCCTGCAAGGGGCCTGGAGGGCTGGTTCTCATTGTTAAGAAGCTCAGCCTTGCTCTCAACTCTGAGATCTGAGTTTTCATTTCTACTTGATCTTAATCCTGCTTTTTCCTTGAAGCGTGTGGCTTCCCTAATTAAGAGAATTCACTAGCTTTTACAATTTTAATAAAAGTGAATTCGTATTGCTCTTCTTGTTCACGTGTGTGTGGCTCAGGCTGGCCCTCAACTCCTGGGCTCCAGTGATCCTCCTGCTCTCACCTACCAAGAACTGGGGTCCCCGACAGGTGTGCCCTAATGTGCCTGGCCTTTTCTTGCTTTTGTCAGCAGCGCTCTGAGCCTGTGGTGCTGATTTGGGGATATTGCTCCTCTAGGAGGTGAAATCAGGGTGACGCCACTGAGGTCGGCTCCGTGTGGACCCAGGTCACCGTCCTGGGTCACTCTGCTCAGCTTCCACTTCGCCTTCCTTTGCTTCCTTCCTCGGCTGCTAGCTCTTGCTGAAGCCTCCTCCGACAAGGTCCTGTGAATGACGTGCTCCTTTTTTTTGCCAACGGGAAGAAATGCCTGGACTTTGCGAAAGCGGCTTGTCACTCAGAACTCTTTCCTTTTACCTTCTAGGTTGATGGCTGCGTTCCCAATGTTCACACTGTTGGAAGCTTGACCTCCCTGTGGTGAGTAGTTCCACTCTCCCAGGTGCCTTGTCTCTAGAAAATTCTAGGACCTTCATGGGCATAGACAGAAATGTACTTTTTTTATGTATTTGTGTATCATAGAGCCCCAAATCTGTGCTGGGTGTTTGCTGGTTTTCACTCCTGTAATCCATCATTCATGGGAGTATGTGAAAAGCACCTCCTGGGAACGGGGAGGGCATGAGGGTAGGAAAGGCCATGGAATGGGATGGACATCACTACTCTAAGTACATGTATGAAGACACGAACGGTGGGACTCTACACTGTGTACAACCAGAGATATGAAAAATCATGCTCTATAGGCGTAATATGAATTGCAATGCATTCTGCTGTCATATATAACAAATTAGAATGAATTAAAAAAAAAAAAGACGTCACAAGACGATGTAGGAGAATCTGAGATGTGCAGCCATGCTGGTAGGTAGTGGGAAATGTACACCGGATTATATTTTCTGACTACTGCTGCAGAAACCAAACAACTGAAGTCATCTGGAAGTTTGCCTGGAGAATCGTGGGGTGTGGATTTAAGAAGAAAATCAAATACATTGTAAATCTTTTACTGTGACTCTGAAAAGATAAGGTTCTTTTGGTCAGGCACCCATGCAGTGCTACTACCCTGTAAAACTGGACAGTCATTCATTTTGTGGTATTACTGAATACTCATGTTCAGATTTCCCTTATCATCTCATGGTTACTTTTTCATACCTCGTTAAAAATACCTCAGTGTCATCACAGGATCTCAGCAAAGGGCCCACTGCATCTGGTCAGTGTGTCTCTCGAGTCGCATTGCATGTGCTGGTTCCCGGCCTTCTCTTGTTCCGCTTGCCGTGCATTTTGTCAGAAGCTGGTCTTTTGTCTGTACAGTTCCCACAGTGTCGATTTTGCTGCCAGCATCCTTGGGCTGTCGTTCAATATGCTTCATTGCCTCCCACATTTCCAGTGTTCTAAAGCCTGGACCAGAGAGATTCAAGTTCAAGTTTGGGGGCATATGTCACAGGCGATGGTGTGACTTCCATGGAAGTGCACATTCTGCCTCTTGTTGAATTGATGTTCTTATTGACTTGTGTGGTCAACACCATTCATTGTTGGGCCATGAAATACATTACTTTATGAAATGACCTTATGAAATATATACCATGGTTTATTAAAACCTCATGGGTTTCATTTCACCCCATCATCCATTGTTGGGATGCCTTTCAGCATTTCTCCTTATAGTTCAAGCAGCCATTGGTGTGCTACAATGGATGTCAAGATCCGGCCTTTTCTTTAGGAATTACAAAAAGGTGATATTCTAATTGTCATTTCTTCTCTATGTATTAGTTGGAAAAATTTTATGAGAGAGATTTTATTTACCTTTCAGAATTTTTTATCTAGTTTACATATGCAAGCAGAATAATGGGCTTGATTCTTACCTTTCATTGGCCCAATAATGAGTTATTTCCATATCATCCTTCAAAGATGATCAAGGGGCTTTTAAAAAAATATTATGAAATTTGGTTGGTTAATAGAGTTGACATAGGGGTGAAGATTTCGTAGAAACTTAGTAAAAAAAAAAAAAAAGAGACCTTTTAAATTCCCACAATAAGTGTTTCTAGATAATAAAAGAAAGGAGGGAAGAGAAGATATAAAGTAGATCAAATATAATTTGATGAGGATATAAATAGGATAAAATAAACTGTGCTAGAAAACAAGAGATTTTTTTTTTTTTAATAGCAATGCTCTGGAATATTCCAGGGAGGATAAATACAAGGAGAATTAATTTACTTTTAGGTACTTATTTACCACCTATTCCTCACCTATCTCAGTTTTAGGCATCAAGGACAAAAACCCTGTCCTCAGGGGGTTTACATTCTACTGTGTGTAAAGATAGAAAATAAACGAATGTGGATGTAAACAGTATGTTATATTGAAAAACAAAGATAGGAAGGGCAATAGGGTCCCAGGGTGCCCTGGGGTTAATATAGGGCTTCTCCAAAAAGACTTTTGAGCAAATCAAGGTGGGTAGGGGGCATAGTTGAGATAAGGTGCAAAGTGTTTCAGGTGTGCTCAGCCTTGCTAAGGAGCATGAGGGAGGGGCAGAGAGAGCTAAGGGGTGATTAATTAGGGAGCCCATGAGATTGGGGCAGTGGGTTGGAATCAGAGTGTGCAAGGCTTGCAGACCATTGTGGGGCCTCTGGGCCCTTGGGATGGACATGATCTTACTTCCTTTTTAACACAAGAATATACTATGCGGAAGGGTCAAGGGCAAGGTCAAGAAGACCAATTAGGAGGTGCCAGTCAACTGGGCATTTGTATGGTGTGTGATGTAAACCCCATGGGGACAGGGTTTTTGTCCTCGATGCCTAAAACTGAGATAGGTGTGGAATAGGTGGTAAATCAGTACCTAAAAGCAATTGCTGTTTCAATTGTGTGGGAGAAAGAGCTGTCCAGGAGAGTGAAGAGCCACGTGTTTGGATGAGAAGGCTGACATTGGTCAATTTCTGCTGTTCTGGGACCTTCTGGGCCATTCAGCAGGTAGGAGTTTCTGCTGGGTTATTCGTTCTGGAGTGGTTTATGAGTTGCTGCGTGGAATTCTCCCCTGGTGGACTAGTTACCTCTTTCAGCTCAGTGAACACAGCCTGTATCCCAGCCCTGGCTCTGCCAGCTACCAAAAGGGGTGCTGAGCCAGGCCATTTGGAGAGATGGCTACAGAACCTCTGGTGAATGCTGGTTTCTTAGACGAGCCCCATGATCGAGTGGAATTTGTTTCTGTGAGGAGAAACCCTTATATCTTAAGAAGTATGATTGTTGAGAAATGATACCTACGTGGGTATGCTCCACGTCTTGGTGGATAGATTCAGTTCAGCTGAGTCTTTGCTTATTAAAGTGTTTTCTTAGGCAAGTCCTCGGGGTGCATTGGCTTCACCTCTCCTTCCTATCTATCACTCTGAGGACCAGAACAGGACTGCACAAATTATACCTGCCTGTTTTACTAATGAAGTTTTAGTGGGACACAGTGACACTGGTTCTTTTACCTGTGATCAGTGGCTGTTTTCTTGCTATGATGACATAGTGCTATCACAGTGCTTTCACAGATCATACTGGTCCGCAAAGACTAAAATATTTACTATTTGGCCCTTCACGAAATAAAAAGTTTTCTGAATTTTGGGATTGAAGATAAGCTGAGGTTGAACAAGGCTCTGAAGCTAAGGATCACACAAGATCACATGCTAAAATATCACTAAGTCTTCTATGTGAGAATATGAAATCTACTGCTTCCAAATTGTGGCTTAAAACTATTAAAATGATTCAGTTTTCCTTATTAATTTTTCTATGTTAGATGCTATTATCCTTAAACAGTCCTCCTTTTGGTATCTGTGGGGGATGGGTTCCAGGAACCCTCCCCCTAAATCCCAGGATGCTCAAGTCTGTTATATAAAATGGCACAGTGTTTACACAAAACCTACCCACCCCCTCCAGTGTGTTCCAAATCGTCTCTAGATTGCTTCTGATGCTTGAAAATATGAACGTGGTGCAAACGGATGTTATGCTGTATTGTTTAGGGAATAATGACAAGAAAAAAAGGTAGTATATGTTCAATACAGATGCAACCATCGAAGGGCCATGACCCACAGATACAGAAGGTCAACTGTACTCGAGAGGAAATGTATTTCAGCAACGCCAGGCACACATTAAATAATGGGGTCATTTTAACTTTGTCGGTGGTAGCATGCCACCAATCCCGAAACTCAGCATTTTGAGGTCTCATTTGTCACCTCCTTTTCCTTGGATAGTGAAAAGCTTTCTCTTCCATGTGAATGCACTAGTATGTGGTTTGCCTTTGATCAGGAATTCTGTATCCTTTTAATATCTTATGCTGAAGGTTTTCAAAATAAGGAGACCTGCATTCCCCACACCCCCAGTGGAACTCAGCTAATTTTATCTAGGCTATTGCTTTGGTCTTTACCCTATATTGTATGCTACATCATGATGGATGACTGTGGAATTCTTCGTGTAAAAAAAAAATTTGAAATAGGTTTAAAATATAAAGGACTTGTCCTTAATTGCATTTTAATGTAATAAAAACCAGAGCTCAATTATTAAAAATGGCAGAAGAAAAGAATTGAAACAGTAAAATTGCTTAGCAAAGAGTCTATTTCATAGTGCATTTGGATATAATTGGTATCATAATGTGTAATTAACAATCTTTCTTTGAAGTGTGAAGCTTAAGTTTGGGTGGAGAGGAGACCTCTGAGGACCGGGTGATGTCTGAATTAGTTTTTACAGTAGCACTTCTGAATCTGTGCCCAGATTGTA